TATCATCCTCATCTTTGTTACCATATTTATCACAACGATGTACGCTCTATCCTCCTTCAGGTTTATTTCGCTCACTGGGGTAAACTGTTCTAGTTCCACGTGCCATGTCTAATGGATGTCAGTTATCAGTTATCTTCTGTTAATTCACCTCTTCAATTTCTCCACTGCCTTAACTGAGTATTGAACTCACACTCTTTGGGTCCTGTCACTGGATCTAATTAACGCCTTTATCTACTATATCATGTGTCCCTGAACACACCTGTGTATGTATTTCTGGGTATTATAAACCTAATGTCTTCATAAAGCATTTTTTTACCAGTACCCATATTGGAATTTTTACTGTTATCACCGTTTTTTACCAGAGCTCATATTGTGATAAATATGGCAACAAAGATGAGGATTATTTACATTATTCGGACTATTGTCCTCATCTTTTGTCGGCATATTTATTACAACGTTTCGGCCGTTGTACGCTCCGGCCTTCTTCATGTGGTTGGAATGTCAAACTGAATCCTTTTATTTCACTCACTGGGGTAGACTGTTCTAGTTCCACGTGCCATGTTTTTAATGGATGTTAGTTATCAGTTATCTCCTGTTAATTTCGCTCTGAAAGTTCTTCACTGCCTTAACCGGGTATTGAACTCACACTCTGGATTCTGTCACTGGATCTAACTAACGTCTGTATCTACAGTCTTCAGTTATAGACAGATACTGAATTGCTTTGTTTACGCTCCGAATACGAAATCGAGTAAATAGGGGCTTTCAAGAAGATCTGCGTGAGGGAATCTTCATTTCTTGAAAGCGTAAACATAACCTTGCTGGGCTGTGAGGCTCTCAGCCATACAAACCGGATCAAACGTTTGTTTCTCCTACAAAGGGTACCGAAGGTTCGAGCCCAGTCTTTTTGAGTAATTTAAGCCGGCACGGCGGGGTAATGGGTAGCGGTTCGGGTTGAGGAATCCGAGAGCCGAGATCGAATTCCACTTGAATCCATTACATTCACTTCCGTGCTAATACCCTTGGGAAAAGTATGAGTCCTCTTCTTCTCCTCCCAGCTATGGGTAACTAGCAGGATAGACCGGATACCATAGCCTTGGATGGCCACTGGTCTACCAGAGAAAGAAATGGCAACCTACTGCGAAAAAAATCTGCCTCGTCAGTTATGTATCGAAAGATGCATGATCGCTTACGCGTGTATCACGCATGGCACATAACTGACTGCCTGATCTATTTATAGCAGGACAGACCGGGTTTTATAGATTTGGATGGCAATTGGTCTACGGCAGAAAGAAATGGCAACCTACTGCGGAAAATATCTGCCTCGTCAGTTATGTATCGAAAGATACATGATCGCTTACGCGTATATCACGCATGACACATAACTGACTGACTGAAACCGGTAGACATATTGCCTACTTGTTTAAAGAAGAAAAATACTGGGCGTTTATTTCGAACACGGGGATCCAGTAAAAATAACTTTTGAAGTAATAAAAATAAAATTTGTGTACCAATTTAAAGTAAAGGGGATTATGTGCTCTCTTCCTTTTTTCTCCCAAAAAGTGTGGCGAGTTTTACACATGACTTCAGGGCGAAAACAATAGAGGAGTAATTAAGAGGATTCGATTGACATTGAATTTTCGGAGATCAAAGTTGGATGGGAAACATGGAGCCGGAGGAGAGTTCTACAAATGCGAGAAAAGAAACTGTAGCATCGAATTTATGGTTACATCTAGCAGCCATTTCAACTGGAAAATGATGAAATCTTGCCGCTAAACTAGTACTGACTAGCACGACACAGGGAACCAATTTCCCTAGCAGCGGGCCTAGCAATTGGTTCAATATAGTCTTTCCACTTCATGTCAGGGAAAAACGTTCGAAATTACGGTTACGTCTAGCAAATTCAACTTTGAATCTTGAGACCTTGCCACCTTCGGTTAGAGTCATAACGTCCAGGTACTATGAAAGTATTTATCCCTGTTTTTTTTGTTTTTGTTTTTTTTTCTCAGACAGTGAAATTAATGTCAAACGGACTAGATCAAGAAGTGTTACTAAATATAATTGTGCCACAGAATTTAATTCTTATCACATGTGCCATTTTGAGGTGTAATTAACTACATTCCTAAATGAAAATAAGAATAAAAATTGATCATTTCCAAAACTTAATTTAACCAAGACAATGGACTGGATCATTATGAGATCAATAATCACTTTTTCCAAAGATGTTCAGAATCTCCTGAGCTTGTTTTACATTCTTCTTGGATAACATTCTCCGATGAAGACCAATTTAAAGGTTTCAGCAAATAAGATCCAAATGGAACAAAGCTCAATATTCTAGTAGAGAGATGAAATAGAAAAGTGAGGCAGATAGAAACATTGGTTTCTAGAAAAGTTTCCTCAATAGACCTAACAAAGGATAACAAACACTTACATTTCCTCCATCCTGACAGAGTAACCATACAAGAATACTGAACCAAAAACATTGACAAATACAAGACAGTATCAAATTCTACAAATAGCAATGTGGTAAATATTGATTTGAAAACTAAAATAAGAAGTCTAACACTATTTCTTGTCAGCATTAAACACCGAAAAAAAAAAAAAAAAAAAAAACAGAAATAAAACTTACTTTAGAATCTAATTTATAAGCTCAATATTCACATTTTATTGAATAAAAAAATCTAATTTCCAAACATTATTAGGAGTTTTAAATATTGAAGGTGACATGGAAATGTGCCTTCTCGAGAAGACATTCCACATAACCAGTAATCATTTTGTTGCTGGTTAGAAATAGACATACCATACAAAATAATTTTATTTTAAATTCCAAAGTTCTAGACCAGTGATTCCCATGAAAGATCCAGAGTATCAATGAGAAAAAAAGTAGGCAGCCAGAGATCAACCGTGGCATATCTGAACCATAACATACACCACACCACACATACAACCATTGTACGTGAAGTGTATATTGCCTTTACTTTACAGTGTGTCCCAATTAGATAATAATTATTATAGGAAATACTAAGATACTCGTTTGACATACAATAATAGCAACAAGAAAATCCAATCAGAGGTTGACTATACATCTGGTGGGGGCGGGGGTGTTAAAGTTGTGTTTTGGTACACAAGGAAGTGGCAACCCAAATAATGTTTGGGAATCACTGCTCTAGACATTACAAAAAGAGAAATAAATGATGTAGATGAAAACTATAACTCAACTAGAAATAGAAATTAATGGTTAAATATATAATCTATAAGTAAGAATGGGGAGAGGTCTCTAAGAAAACCAGAAAATGTAATTTGGCATAATGGTGCCAATTAGGCTGAGTTGTCCAACCCATTCACAGCAACAAGTGTAATGGAAACATTAAATTTTTTTTATACATGTGGTTGCTCATGAAAGCTACAACCAAAGTTAAAATCAAACAATTTGATAAAGTATAGCATATCTTTATATAGAGAATATGTATTTCACTGTTATTTTTAAGTCCTAAGTCATAAAACGAGGAAAGCTAGCTTGGAGAATATAATACTCACAAACCATACTGAACACAGGAAGGGGATAAATGAAGAAAGTAATGCCAAACTTAACAATCTTGTTTAAATGAATAGCAAAACAATTTCACGGGGGTAGGAGTATTGCTTAGAGGTTTAAACTATAGGAAGTCATGGAGAGCCATGTACGGTCACGTCCAGAAGATACGGCACTTTAAAGGCTGGCATATGCTGTACACATTCAATTTAAAATGCCTGGCGTTCGCAGAGGTCTTCTGAAATAGAAAAGCAACAGTGGCTATCGCGCGTCATTTCAGATGCGTTGCTCTCACTTGCAGAAATGAACGGCATCAGGCAGCCAGATGCTCTGTAGAATTTTCGACATGCTGGTATTGTTAGCAATCAGCAGAAAGAATGGGAAGAGAGAGAGAGAGAGAGAGAGAGAAGGTAATGCCGCGTACAGACAGACAGAGGATAATTTTACATTTCGCCTTTTTCAACTGCACGCGAGGCAGACTTGCAACAGGCCATTAAGTTGGTCGTCAGAGCAACGTGATATTTGACAGTATCGATCCGGAATCCAGTACATGGAGTCTTTTAAGCGAACATAGAGGGAAAGAGAGACAGAGAAAGAGTGTGTGTGTGCGTGTGAGACAGCGAGAGAAAGATAGAGGAGAACGAGATAAATGATGTGGGGGTGGGGCCGAAGGGGGTGGGGTGTTTTGCGAAGCGTTTGTCTGTTTTCGGTGAAAAGGAAATATTCAATTCGTCAATATGCAGAGTTTTCTTTTAAAACACACATGTGAGTGGCTATGTCATATGGCATGAAAATAGAGGCATGAGAAAAAGCTTTAAACAGAGGCACAGATAGATTCAATTATAATGGCATACACATCAAGATAGATAGATAGATAGATAGATAGATAGATAGATAGATAGATAGATAGATATAGCAATTAATATTTTGGGATAGATAGATGTGAACATAGATAGATAGATAGATAGATAGATAGATAGATAGATAGATAGATAGATAGATAATGAAAATATTTACATAGATAGATAGATAGATAGATAGATAGATAGATAGATAGATAGATCAATTAATATTTTGAGATAGATAGATGGAGAGATAGATAGATAGATATGAAAATATTTACATAGCTAGATAGATAGATAGATAGATAGATAGATAGATAGATAGATAGATAGACCAATTACTATTTTGAGATAGATAGATAGATAGATAGATAGATAGATGGATAGATGAATGATAGATGATGATAGATAGAAATTAATATAGATAGATGAATAGATGAAATAGATGGATAGATAGATAGATAGATGATAGATGAGAAAATATAAAATTAATATATTGAAATAGATAGATAGATAGATAGATGGATGGATGGATGAGATAGAAATAAAAAATTAATATACTGAGATAGATAGATAGATAGATAGATAGATGGATAGATGAGATAGATAGATAGATAGATAGATAGAAATTAATATATTGAAATAGATAGATGGATAGATAGATAGATAGATAGATGGATAGATAGATGGATAGATAGAAATAAAAGATTAATATAAAGATAGATAGATGAGATGGATAGATAGATAGATAGATGGATAGATGAAATTAATATATTGAGAGAAGAGAATAGATAGATGATAGATAGATAGATAGATAGATGATATGGATAGATAGATAGATCCAAACGGTTAATATACTGAGATAGATAGATAGATGATAGATGGATGGATAGATGAATAGATGAGATAGATGGATTACAGAGAGAGAGATGTTTAGAGATGTAGAGAAACGGTTAAATCCAGCAGATAAACAGATAGCAGAGAGAGAGAGCCTCAATAAGGATTGACTGATTGACTGATCTGGAAAAGGCATTAAAATAGAAACGGCAATGCTGTTATTGTTGTCGCTGATAAGAAAAAGAAGCCATGCTGCTTGACAGCTGTTCCGATACAAAAAGCCGACTCATCTGTACCTTAAAATAACCCCACAGAGAGCCAGATTCACCCGAGGAACAAATCCTTCATCCGAGTGCAATTGTTCTTGCACATGAACCTATTTTGCAGTTATCGGTGCAAATATATCGGGTGTGGATACAGAAAAAATATTCAAAGTTAAGACAATTTTTTTATGACGCTTCTGAACAGTATATTCTTTTGGTTGCGTCTGTGAAGTTTATTTTTAATAAGTACCTGGGCCCCAATGATCACCTTGCTATAATTATTGGGTTGGTGCCTAATTATCAGGCGTTTTTCTTAAGCGAGTTATTTGTTAATAAAGATTGATATTTTGTTTACTTTTTTTAAATAAAAATATTTTTTTTTTATTTTCAGGTTATAAAAACGTGTGTCAATAATCATACGCTCCGGAATAATCATATAAAAATGTTATTGTTGAATTATTATGTTTCTTTTTTCATAATAAATATTGTTTAAAAACGCCTGATAATTATGCACCAACCCAATATTAGCATTCAGTTACATTTTCTTATACTCCACATAAGTCTCATATCTTTTTTTTCTTTTTCTTTTTTTTTTTTCGTGGGGAACCGCTTTTTAAGCTTGTATATGTGGATAATGGCTTGGAGAGCCGAGTTCAATTCCAGTTGGATTCGTTCTATTCACTTGAATTCAAATACCCATGGGAAGAGGTATGAATACACCTCTTCTCCTCCCATCTATGGGTTAATTAGCAAAACTTGTATCGCTAAATCATTATTCTATCCCCCCTAAAATTCTGACAATCTAAAAGTATATTCTGGTTATAAATAAACTGCAAAAACGGTTGATAAGTCATAAAAAACAAATCAGTCAATCAATGAGATACTGATTATCTAAACAGGCATGTCTTTTAGATTTATTTATATTCTCTGGAATATATACGTATAGAAACTACCGTGGCCACAAATTGAGTGATCAGTTTATATATTGATAGTAATATAGAGTGTGTCCCCCACTTTATATCAACATTGTAATTTCTTGTTTGTTTATCAAATTCTTAGGTAGGAATACACCTTATCTCTTAACTATGGGTTAATGAATAATGCATCAATAAACTATTATCATGTTTAAAAAAATCTTACAATGTAAAAATATTTTCTGGCTTTAAATAACCTGAAATGGTCGATAAGCCGTAAAAAACGAATGAATCCGCCAACTAATCATTTGGTTGAACAGCTGAAGTTTCAATATTTTTACTAATTCATATACTCCGAGATATATTTTTTACTAATTCATATACTCCATGAGACTCGGGATCGAATCTCACCAAGGTCGATTTGTCAGGATTGTTCCTGATGTCATTCGCAGTGTGCGGCAAAGTGCCTGAAAACCATACCACTGAAAATCATAGACGATAGCACGAAGTCACAAGTCATCGTGGCCGAGGGCTTGAGCGTGCTGGCCTTATTGAAATTATCACGCTAGATAACACGCTCTTTCCCAGAAGCTGTAGCTAAGGTCTGCAGTATAAACCGCAGGTGGGCTGCATGGGGGTCGAATAAACACAAATGCGACTGAGCAAACGTCTGCAATGGGGACTGGCTAGCAGCCCTAGCAGACAGGTATACGAGTGGCCAGCAATACACTCTTATTATACGACCGGGAAATGACAGTCACATCTCAGCTCCACAGAAAGTTTTGTGTCGCGCGCCTCGATGTGGCAACCTAAGCCATCTTAGCTTCTTCTTGGTACATTTATCCGCTTTGCCCTTCTGAATTTACCACAACCTCTATCTATCCATTCCCAATAATATTTATTCACAAGTCTGATATCAGGACGATTAATCTCCAAGCGCTTGTCAATCAAGACTGTTATATCCCACATGAACTTCACTTGCTTTTGATAGTGGGGAATTATTATTTTTTATTGATTGAGTTGTTTTTTACTGAGTATCAACCCAAAGCCAGAAAATATATTTAGATTGTAAGAATTTATTTTTTCGGAGATAATAATGGTTTTAGTGATACAAGACTCACTAATTAACCCGTAGGTGGGGGACAGGTGTACTCTTTGCTTTCCCAAAGGTATTTGCGCTTAAGTGAATATAACGAATCCAACCGGGATTCGAACACGGAACGCCGATTAAAAATTCCGAGCCATTATCCATTACACCACCGGCACATCCCAGCACCTGCTATTCCTAAATGGTCACTCATCTATGTACTAATCAGACCTGACGTTCCTTAACTTTGATGATTATACAGGAACCCTTGTTTCAAAGTGATGTGGACGTAAGCCTCATTATTATTATTACTGAGTAACAGTACGCTATTAAAGAGTCACTAATATACGAAACCCAATGTACCCGTCATGACACCCAGTTTGTTAAGGGTATACCGGGTACATGCATCACAGCCAAATGTGCGCGAAATGTTGACTATGCTAAGAGTAGAGCCTTGCAGATGGGGCCCAGTTTGAAATGCTTTTGGCTCCTATAACCAAATCCTCAAAGACGGTCTCGATTGAAGACCTTTCCAAGTACTTATTGGTGTAGCTCCCAATTCGCCTCGGTTGCCTCATCCTTCAAAGTAAAAACAAAAGCACTCACTCCACCCGGTCATGTTGCTCCTCGTTGATACCCTGTAGGTAAGTTTTAGGGGACAAACCCGGCTGGCTAAGGCCAGTTAACTGAAAGATAAATACTTGACAGTGAAAGGGATATTTGCTGTCGACTATCTTAATCCAGCACAACAAAAGGTTCAAATGTTATCTTCTCTAATCAATTAAAGTCAGGAGCTATCACAACATTGTCTGGAGTAGCATCAAGAAAGTTCCTCTTTTTCTTCAACTTCTTCTTCTTCTTCTTCTTCTTATTATTATTATTATTATTATTATTATTATTATTTTCTTTGATTTCTGGCGTTTACACATTTCTTTCCGGGTCCCGTCCAGGGACCTAAGGTTAGAAATGGCATCATGACACTTCCCACTGACAAAAAAAAATACATAGATAAAGCCCTTCGTAAAGTTTGGGCTGTACTTGTCAGAACAATTTTTTGTATCTCTTTGAGGCATGGACTTCCAGGAATCCCTTCAATTAGTCTACTGCAATCTTTTCCAAACAATCCTAGGGCTCCAACTACAACAGGAATTATCCATTATTATTATTATTATTATTATTATTATTATTCCTTTGATTTCTGATGTGTACTCATTTCTTTCCGGGTCTCAACCAAAGACCTAAGGTCAGAAATGACATCATGAAATTTTCCTCTGAAAATTTGTTTAGGGAAAAATAAACAAACACCTATGATCACACGCATTTTACATAGATAAAGCCCTTCATAAGGTGTTTGGTATATTTTCGAGTACAATTTTTTTGTATTTCTTTAAGGCATGGGCTACCAGGAATCCCTTCAATTAGTCTACTGGAATCTTTTTTCAACAAATCCGAGGGCTCCAACTACAACACGGATTGTTAAAGTTCCCATTTGCCACATTTTTGAGATTTCGATTTCACGGTCCTTGTATTTTGATACATTTTTGAAGATCTTCCAAGATGCATTACAATCTGTCATGTCAATAAGGAGGCATATTTTTGTCTTTACGGTGTCTGATCACGGTGTCTGGGCGATTAGCATTGATTGTTCTGTCTGTGTGTATTGTAAAGTCACATAAAATTGTTACAGGTCCTATAACTCTGTAACCGGGTCTAGGTGGTGTTCATACCGATTTCCTGCAGTTTCCTTCCCGTAAAAGTTGCAGATTTTACAATGCAGATATTGTACCATTCTGTCATGCCGGGTTTCATACTCAGTGGGTGCCAATATCGTGCAGCCTGACACAAAATGGTCAATTGTTTCTGGATATTTATCACAGAATCTGCATTTTGGTTTAACACAATATTTTAGTATGTATGTTTGTTAATTTATAGTTAAAAAGCATTGGTCCTGTGAGAGCAAGAATATAACTTTCAGTTTCTGCTTTTAAACCTTCACTACGTAGCTACTGATGGGTACAGGGTTTGTTTACATCAGCTTATTTGTTACAGGCAGAATATTGACCTTGGTCTTTTAGAGTTCTATTATTATTATTATTATTATTATTATTATTATTTTATTTCCTTTGATTTCTGATGTGTACACATTTCTTTCCAGGCCCCGCCCAGAGACCTAAGGTTAGAAATGGCATTTCCACTGACCAATTAAAAAATATATATTTTATATAGATAAAGCCTTCGTAAGGCTGTATACGTCAGAACAATTTTTGTATTTCTTTAAGGCATGGACTTCCAGGAATCCCTTCAATTAGTCTACTGGAATCTTTTCCAACCAATCCTAGGGCCCCAACTACAACAAGGATTGTTGATGTTTCCCTATGCCACATTTTCGAGATTTCTATTCCAAGGTCCTTGTATTTTGATTGCTTTTTGAAGATCTTCAAAGATACATTGCAGTCCGCAGGGACTGCCATATCAACAAGGAGGCACTTTTTTTGTTGTTTGCGGTCTCTAATAACAGTGTCTGTGCGGTTTGTTTTGATTGTTCTGCGTGTATTGTGTAGTCCCATAAATTTGAAACAGGTCCTATCTCCGTAACCGGATCTCGGTGGTGTTCATAATAATTTATCTCAGTTTCCTTCCCGTAGAAGTTGCATATTTTCCAGTGCAGATATTGGCCCTCCTCTGTCGTGCCGGGTTTTATATTCATTGGGTGTCAATACCGTGCAACCTGATACAAGATGATCAATTGTTTCTGGATATTTATCACAGAATCTGCATTTTAGGCTAACATATTATTATTATTATTATTATGATTTCCTTTAATTTCTCTTGTATACTTATTACTATCCGGGTTCAGAGATCAAAATTCGGAAATAGCATCATAATATTTTCGCCTAATATTTGTGTAAAAAATACTTCTATCAACCAAGAGCACAGACGTTTTACATAGATAAAGCCCTTCATAAGTTGTCAGTTATGCTTATGAGAATCGGCTGCCAGAGATTCTTCAATGAGTCTATCAGAACCTTTTTCCAATTTAACCCAGAGTCGTAACCACAAATGGAATTGTTGACGTCTTCATGTGCCACATTTTGTAGATTTCCATTTCAAGTTCCTTGTACTTTGATAGGTCTTTGAAGGCCTTCAAAAATACATTACAGTAAGCTGGAACTGTTATGTCAATAAGAAAATGCATTCTGTTTTTTTTTGGGTGGGGGGCGTTGGGTTGTGGTCTTTAATCGCTATATCTGATATTATTATCATTATTATTATTTTCTGTTCATAATCTGTTTGAACTGTCCCCGAGTTTCATTTTGAAACCTCAATATACTGCAAGTTGACGTGCCATAATTGAATTAACTCCAAGAATTTTTTTTTTTTTAAATCTAACAAAATTATTATTCAGGTAATATCACACTGATAGTATTTTCTTAAGGATGCAAGAAATTTCCATGAATCCAATTTTTTTTCTGCATTTCCTCCAAGCTTTACTCTGCAGGTAGTTCGAAGATATTTGCATCCATATTTTGGGGGAATAGTTCCTAAGGTACACACCACGATGGAAATTGTTGCTTTGCGATTAATCCTGGCTGCCATCATTCCACTGGAATATTCTGTAACGAAATGGAAATCGAGTGATCAGTTTTTGTAGCGATCGAGAAAGCATCCCCTCGGGTGTCTGTCCTACGAAGTAGCGATTCTAGGAAAGAAACTGTCCCAAGTGAACTTAAATAATTGAATACTAACGGAACGGGGCAGATTCGTCCCAGTGTACGCGGTAGAGGGTGTCTTAGCTGTAAGTCTTAGCTATATTAATTACAATTGTTATCACATAATAACTGTGCCTGTCCCTCCACTTTGTTAGTTCATCTGTACGCACGGCCATTACTCCGTGCCAATACCTAATAAATCATGAACCATTCTGTTTTGATCGCGTGGAAAGTCAAAAGGCGTATTAGAGACCATTCTGTTTTGATCGAAAGAAAGAAAGAAAGAAAGAAAGAAAGAAAGAAAGAAAGAAAAAAGAAAAAATATAAGTATTTATATTCATGTTGAGATACACCTAATTTACATTCCGACCATATAAATATGGGTTGAAGAAAAGAAAGAAATTAAGAAATTGAATCCAGAACTCTGCCCGACTGCTATTTAGAAATTATGAAAGAAAGAATACCAAAAACTGTAAAATTGTGTACCTATTCTTTGTTTCAATACATTTTGTTAACGTATTATTCCATGCTTATTTAAGCTTAAATTCAGCACTTAAAACGATCACTGGTCATTTTCAAGAACAGGCTATATTGTGGTTTTAAAATTCAAAATAACACTGAAATATTGTTTCCGGCTCCCTGTTGGTCACTTCGACGTGGTGTAACGAGAATCATTGATGCGCCAGATTAATTACAACCTCATTGTCTGCTCCCGACTTCAGGCCTTGTGCTGCATCTAAGCTTAGGAAATCGTTAACTCAGTGATAGTGCAGCCGACGGCACACACACTGCAATGCTATTGTTTGTTTTTTTGTTCTTTGTTTTGTTTTGTTTTTGTTTTTTACTTTTTTTTTTTCATAATGGTGAATTTGTAATAAGAACGTTAAACATTTAAATAATGTTTGTCACATCTTCATGGTTTCATTTGTGGATCGCCTGCAACGCATGTAAAGAAAAACAACATCTTAAATGCAAAAGAAAAGATATATATATATATATATATATATATATATATATATATATATATATATATAATTACATGAATCATTACATGAATCATTCATACAAAAAAAAAAAATATAGAGGTTAATGATTATAAAGAAAAACAACATCTTAAATGCAAAAAAAGAAATATATATATATATATATATATATATATATATATATATATATATAATTACATGAATCATTACATGAATCATTCATACAAAAAAACAAATATAGAGGTTAATGATTATAAAGAAAAACAACATCTTAAATGCAAAAAGAGAAAGCATATATATATATATATATATATATATAATTACATGAATCATTCATACAAAAAAAACATACATAATATAGAGGTTAATGATTTAAATGGCAGTAATAAGAGGACAACGAAAATATAAAATTTTTACGAGAAGTAAAAACAAGAACAAATCTATTACCATACCTGAGGATGTCTGGAGGAACAGACGAAAGCTTGTAAAAACTAAAAAAAAAGACCTTATGAAACTGGAATTTATAAACGGGGATCATATCATTCATATACAGGTTCGGGGTTAGTGTATCTTATTGAAATTGTTTGCGAAGATGTATTCTCGCCATTTAAATCATTAACCTCTATATTTGTTTTTTTTGTATGAATGATTCATGTAATTATAAATTAAAATTGCACCTATAATCGATATAGATTACACTCTGAAGAGATGCATAGATATTCCTGAAATAAATTATAACCGAAATGAATCTTTAAGGTTTTCTTCATGATTATTATTATTATTATTATTATGCAAGAAGACAGAATGCATGTTTGCTAAACAGTCTAATATGCAAATTATAAATCGGGGATACCGAAATAAAAAATAAACATTCTAATATGCAAATATGCAGTCTAATATGCAAATATGCAGTCTAATATGCAAATCAAAGATCGGGAATACCGAAATAAAAAAAATAAACAGTCTAATATGCAAATATGCAGTCTAATGTGCAAATAAACAGTCTAATATGCAAATTAAAGATTACAGATACCGAAATATAAAATAAACAGTCTAATATGCAAATAGGCTGTCTAATATTCAATTAAACAGTCTAATATGCAAATTATAAATCGATGATGCCGAAATGAAAAAATAAACAGTCTAATATGCCAATAGGCAGTCTATTATTCAAATAAACAGTCTAATATGCAATTTAAAGATCGGGGATGCCGAAATAAAAAAAATAAACAGTCTAATATGCAAATATGAAGTCTAATATGCAAATATACAGTCTAATATGCAAATTAAAGATAGAGGATACCGAAATAAAAAATAAACAGTCTAATATGCAAATATGCAGTCTAATATGCAAATAAACAGTCTAATATGCAAATTAAAGATTGCAGATACCGAAATATAAATTAAACAGTCTAATATTCAAATAGGCAGTCTAATATGCAAATTAAAGATCGAGAATACCGAAAGAAAACAGTGAAACAATTTAAATATCTGGGGTGCGTATTAACAGAAGACGTAAAGTGCAACACGTAAATCCGAAGATACATTCTGATAGCGAAAGTTGCCTTCTAAAAGCTGAGCAAAGTATTAAGAAACAGAAAAATATCATTAAAAACAAAACAAAGAAATGAGATCTGAACCGTTATTTAGTATCAGTCCTCCAGTATGGCAGTGAATACTGAACAATCTCCTCGCAGATGAAGAAGAGACGTGAAGCATCAGAGATGTGGTTCTACAGAAGGATGTTGGGAATACCATGGACTGAACACGTGATAACGATGCAGTTCTAAAGACAATGGCAGCAAAAAAAGGACAATTCAAATTTCTGGGGTACATAATGAGGAAAGAGGGCTTGGAAAATCTAATACTCACAGGACAGGTTGACGCTAAGAGGGCCAAAAGAAAGCAAAACAAAACGTACTTGGTGGGATCGAACGATTGGATGGTGGAGGAGGTTTTGGGGGAGAAGGTAAAAAGACGTAATGTAATAAGAGCTAAAAAGGAGAGGAAATAGAGGAGAGCCATGAACGCCCACGTCCTGAAGAGACACTGCACATAGAGCAACAAGAATGAATGAATCTAATGTG